CCTGCTTAAAAAGCGAATTAAAAAAATGATCAATTTAAATTATCATTTTTTAAATTAGGAACTACTAACCTAATTTTGAAAAAAAATATATTTAAAAAGTTGAAATTGGAAAATCTTTAAAAAATATTAAAAAAAAAATCCTACTTCCGCATAGTGAGACGTTGCGGTTATTCTATTGAAATCATTACATTTACATTTGTGACCTCTTGGGATTATAAAATAAAGTCCAGTTGAGATTATAAAATAAATGCTTCTTGAGGTTATAAAATAACGGTGGGTTGATGATTTATCCATTTTATTTATTGTTTTACATATTTTGAACTACTGCATCATAACTCCTCATATTTTTTCTTCTTTCAAGTCGTCAAATTAAGTTTAACAAGCCAATCTTCATATGCAAAATTTGCGAAAAGTTTTAATCTTTTTAGCTTACCTTTTCAATATTTCCACGTTATGAATATAATTGAAGAATAAATATAAAGACAAAACTATTCAAACATTTTACTTTATATATAGTAACTTAAAAAATCTCTTCATTTATATCATATCAAGATTTTTTTAAATATTAAAGCAACGTAACCGTTTCTTTTGATCAAATGATATTTTGAACTTTATCTAACTTGTCATTATTTTTCGACTGATGATAAGATCTTTGTATCACCAGTAAAGAATTTTGTGATATTTTTCAGGCATTTGAGCCTGACATGTTTATAAATATTACAAAAGGTAAATCTTTTGTAATATTTATAAACATTTGAAGACAACATTGAAAACAATATTTGAATATAAAATTGAAACAAATATTTGAGCAGCCATTGCTACACGTGCTAACCACTGCGCTATAGTGGTTAGCGCACTTTCCTCAGAAGCTAAAGATTCATGGTTCAAAGCCACCTCTGAGCAGGTTTTACAACTTTGGCAAAAAAGGAGGCGTGAACTTCCTTTCAAATGCTCTTCCATCGTGCTCTGTGATATGACCGCAAGGAATTCTCGGGCACCTAAAATAACATTATAACAGTAATAAAAATAAAAATAAATTTTTGTAAAGATTTGTGCTTGGCAAGAATCTTCACGAATATAAAGGTTTGTAAATAAGGTTTATCAAAGCATGTTTCAATGACAACACCAACTTGTTTGACTCTTTAAGGTCCGCTACTTTTAAAACCAGCGGAAAATTACGATAAAAGTTGACGGAAATAAAAGTATTGTTGAGGTTTTATATTTTCCACTAGCATTTTGTTTAATGCCGTATGCGCATGCTCAAAGTACTTATTCGCAGTTTTTTGTTGTTGTTGTTATTTTATTATTTGTTTGTGTTATAGTAAATAATATTTATCTTGTTAAAATATAAAATACAGCTAACTCCCATATTTTTTGAAATTCTTAGTTGTTTGAATTTCCCAGTTATTCAAACCTCCACGAGGAATTTAACGCAGTGGTTAGAACTCTGGCTCAGAACCAAAGGGTCCGAGGTTCGACGACGGCTCTAACCCAATAAGCGACATTGGTAAGGAAGGAGGTGTGAACTTTCTAGTTAAATGTTAGATAAATCTTTCGCGGTACTCTGTGATCAGACTATAAGGACTTCTCGGAGCACCTTAATAACCACAAAACAAAACAAAACAAGATTACATCAAATAAATGATATTTCAGATAAATTAAAATTTACTTTTATGAGCAACATTTCAACAAAATATAAATTTTAGCTGTAAAAGTTAAATGTTCATTATCTGCACTAGTAAAAAAAAGTTATCCCCGTTTAATAAAATATACTTTGACGAGAGTAGGTAACTTGAAATCACTCCCTACCACATTCAATTTGTAAAAACAACAAGCTGATTAGATAAAATTAGTTTTCTATTTTAAATTTCTATGACTGATGATGCGCTCTAGCTATTTCATGGTAATGGTTTACATGTATTTTAATGCTGCTGGTAATGTGAGGTAGCCTTGTTTTGGAAAAAACGTAATAATATATTTTTTGCAATAATTTAGTTAAAAAATTTTGCTATATACGATTTACAATGACCGAGCGAGTTTTAGAAAATGCGAGCTATTAACTTAAAGACAAAAATTATGTTTTCTAATTTGCACCAAGTTATTTGAAGTTCATAAAAAAAACCGTAATAGAAGAATTTAAATAATTGTTCCCAAGATGATTGTTTTTGATTGTTTTTGCTCGTTATTTAACTGTGAGTGTTTCTCTTTTACTGTGAACAGTAAATAAATCAAAGCAAAATCTCCAAATTAAAAAAACAGACTTTTTAAATTTTGCTAGAAACTTCTCAAAACGTTTGGTCTGAATATATTAGAAAATTAAAAGCTTGTTTAAAAACTTAGGTTTACACTGTAACCGTAAAACAATAACTTGGGTTATGGTGTGAACTGAGTCAACATGAAAAGATGCATCTATTTTATGATCTTAGTATGTGATTTTTATTATTAAGGTGCTTTAAAAAGACCTAACGGTCTTTTTCACAGATCACCGTTCTTCAACGGTGCTCTGTGAAAAGACCGTGAAGTCTTTTTAAAGCATTTCTATGAAATTCTTGTATTTTAGCAGAATTTCATAGAAAAATTTTTTTTTATCAGAATTCAAGTCAGAAAATGCTGAGAGACTATGAAGCTATTTTGATAACAAGAATAACTATCCCTTATTAGATTGAGAAATCTATATTATTTAGTGAACATTTAGCTCAACATTGAAAAAAAAAAAGAATTAGTTTTTATCATCTTTCTAACAATATTTTGTTTTTTGACTTTTCCATAAAATTTTGCTGATTTAGATTGTTAAAATATTCATAACCAATCATTATACCAGAATCTTATTTAGATTCTGGTATAATGATTGGTTATGATTATTTGTGATGAAGTTATTTACTGTGTTTAAACAAAAAAAAATAATTTCTCTAATTTTTAGAATGATAGATTTTTATGCGCTTAATGTTAAAAAGTTATAAAAAATTGGTAAAAATTGATTGTTAGTCAATTACTATAATATGGAATAGTGTTTTCTCAAAACATTTATATGAATGTGCAGTTGTTCCACTATGATAAACTTTTTAGATAAAAGGAGATTAACCTTTTAAATAATAAAAAATTAACTTTTTTGATAACAGGAGAATAACTTTTTGGTTAACAGGAGATTAATTATTTAGATAACAGGAGTTTACATTTTTAGATAAAAGGAGATTAACTTTTTGAATAAATGGAGATTAAATTTTAAGATAACAGGAGATTTACTCTTTAGATAACATGAGATTAACTTTTTAGATAACAGGAGATTGACTTTCAGATAACATGAGATTACATTTTTAAATAACGTGGAAACTATTTTTAGCAAAGTATTTATCAGACACTAATATTGATAAATATATATTTTTAAGACATCAGTTCGAATTTTTGTTTTTGTTGTTATTCTTGAAATACTTAAACTTTGTTTAGTTGGCCATCCACACCCGGTGGGAAATCGGCTAGCGAATAGCTAGCTGTAATCGTAACTATAAAGACAGCGATTTGACCACAAGGATCGGCAGCTTTTTTAAGTTAGCGAAAAGCTATCGATATTTGTAAAGACAAAGACAGCAATTTGGCTACGAAGATAGCTTAATAAGCTATAGACCACAGGCTTTTGTAGCTAGCGTCATATCGTAATAAAATTGCTGTCTAAAAAATTTTAATATGCAGCTATCAACCTGCTATAGATTTGTAGATATTTTGTAGCTAGCTACAAAGCTACGATATGTTGCTAGCGACACATTGCTACAAAATCGCAAAGTTTAAAGTTTAATTATTCTCACGTTTATAATAGACTCAACACTGAAAACCGAATTTTTAAAGATGTTAAAGACATTAGGAAAAAAAACAATAAAAAAAAAAAAATCGCTACAAAATTGCTATAAAGCTAGCTAATCGCTCGCTAGTCGCTAGCTCATTTTCCACCGGGTAATTACCATATATTAAATATCATAATTTATTGAAGCACGTTATTCCATTATAATATGCTGCAGAGCTCCTTATATTTAGAGCAAAAATTTCAACAGGTGCTTGTTTATATATGTTTTTGTTTACTTTTAGTCAAAACATCAAAATATTTCCGTTTAAAATGATTTCTTTGTAACTTTTGTCATAATTTAAAAAGTACAATTGTATTAACAATTTTGGATTGAGTAGGATACATGTTTTTTCAACTTGCTTCTGCAGCATTTAATTTAAATTTGATCCACAAACTTATTGGTATACAAAAATTATAAAATCCTATAAATAAAATAAAAAAATAAGTCTATGATGTATCCAAACCAAAAGATGTTAAACTCACTTTCCTCACATTTAGGATAAAGAGGAGGGCAGAGTTTTGAAGTTTTTGTTTTCAATTTCTAATCACTAAAATATTATTTATTTATTTTTTACACACTCCAACAGTTCAATATAATCTTAGCTTTTTATTCTTGAAAAATAAAAAAAAGTTATTTTTGTACTACAGAGTTTCTATAAGAAACAAAATATAAGCTTTACTATTTAAACAAATTACAAGCGTGTTTTATAGCAAATAACAAATTCTTTTATTCTCTATTCTATTCCAAAAAAAGTGTTTTAGTGTCAAAAGTCAGTTTACGGTACGGTGTGCGTGTATGTATGTTTTATATGTCTGTGAGAGTGTGAGAGTATAAATATATATATATATATATATATATATATATATATATATATATATATATATATATATATATATATATATATATATATATATATATATATATATATATATATGTATATATATATATATATATATATATATATATATATATATATATATATATATATATATATATATATATATATATATATATATATATATATATATATATATATATCGCTATTCAATTTTTGAATTTTAAAATTTTTCCCAACTTGCTAATTTTATGATAACTAATTTTGTCTGATTAAAAAAAAGTGTATATTTAGTCATGCAATATATTTTTTAATATAAAAGCGTCGGATTAAGTTAATAAATATTTTAAGTCCTGTTTAAAAATATTATAAAATTAATACTTAAAAACAGTATTATTGATTTCTTTCACTTGAACTTTAATTTGTTTCGAATATATAATGTTGACACATTATAATCTACTTTATTGTGTACCACTATCGTTTATCGTATTTTTATAGTGTACCTGTCGTCTACAACATGCCGTCTGTTTTTAATGTAAAATATATAAATAAATAGAAGAATTTCTAAGTAAAAATTTCTTTGTCGTTTTAAAGTTGCTTTGAGTTTGATTTTAAGAATGGTCACGTAACAATTCTGTCTCATTGACACCAGCTTAGTTGAGGTTATTCTTGCTCAGCAGTCATCTTTTTTTTGCTCACCGACGGAGCAGTTCTCCGAGCGCCATCTTAACTTTTTATATATCGCCTGTAAACTACAACAATTTCATTATTGTCTCATTTAATACTAGTGAATGTCTTTAGCGTCGTACTCATATCGATAAGTTTGTTTTTACACATACAAGATTTTACATTTTTAACTTTATATTCTGTTATTGTATTATCATCAGAACAATAAACTTCAATTTTTTTATGCTTTACTAAGACTTCTACACAATCGGTGTTACGCTTGTAATCGTCTATAATATTTGTCAAATTTTTATAGTTTATGTTTGGGTACTGATTCAACACGCTCTGTGGTAAAATACATGTACCAACGCATACACCAACTTTTACTCGTTTCAATGTAGAGCAGGACCGTTCTTTATTTCCAAAATGGCGTTTTACTGTAATCCTTCGACAATTTCCTTCATCTATGTTAAAATTAACAATTAATCTTATAATCTCATATTTTATACAAAATATGTTTTTTAATATATATATATATATATATATATATATATATATATATATATATATATATATATATATATATATATATATATATATATATATATATATATATATATATATATATATATATATATATATATATATATATATATATATATATATATATATGCATACATATATAAAATATATTAAACAAATTTAATATATATTAACATAGAAATTTTATAATGTGATTTTGCTAATAACATTTGTTTTATTCATTATAAAAAGTTTTATAGTGGGCAACTAAACTAAAATTTCTAATGAGAATAAGAATTTGTAAATCAAATTAAAACTTTATAAGATAAAAGTTTTTACTTGATTTATTCATTGTTTTATTAAATGCGTAGTCAGTCGGTGTTTAGAAGGAAAAAACGTAGATTAAGTTGTTATTTACGTGTGTAAATTGACGCCAAGAACTTTTTCTTCCTGTTTATCGATATAAAAAAATAAAAATAGTAGTTGCTATAGAAAACTTTGTTTATTTTAATAACGTGCTGGTTTTGGGACAAGATTTGTTAGAGTACATTTTATCTTATTCGAGGTTCCCTCTAATAAAGTAGTACAAAATTGCGTCCTTAAGAAAAAATTAGAACGAGGAGTTAATTATTTCCGGTTACGTAGCGCTCAAAATGCACTGTAAAACAAAATTAAACAAAAAGTTATTTAGAAAACTTGGATAATAAACACTGAAAGGTAATTTTTGAATGTTTAAGGCCTATTATAAAATATGGATTTAATAACAAAAAAAGTCAAATCTTGTAAAATAATCTTTTAAAGCATACATAATTTTACAAAAACTTATATTTAAAATTCTAACCACCTGCTAGATATTTTTTAAAGAAAAAATTCACAATTATTATTTTTTTTTATTTCTTTAAAATCTCTCTCTGTTTTTCTTTTTAAAATATTAACATGCAAAAATAAAAAGTAAAAGATTAAATCTATTTTGTCGAAATTAAAAACTTAATCATAATTAAAAAATAAAATTCTTTTCAATAAAAGAAACTATTTTAAAAACAAAATTTACTAAGTTGAACTTTAAATCAGCAAAAATTTAAAATTATCATCTTTGTATAAATTTTTGGGAATCTGGTTTTGAAAATATATAACAGGTCGAACAGTATATACCAAAGCACATTAACAGGTTGAAGCAAAACCTTAAATTAAACTTGAAAGTCTTATAAAGTTTGGTATTTTGTGATAAAAAATTTACATTAGCAGTAAAAAATTAATCTTAAAGTTGTTCTCACAACAAAAAGAAATTGGAAATTTTTTTTTATTTGTGTAACTATCTTGCTGTTGTGCTTCATTTTTATACGTAATTTCCGTACCCCAAGATGCGACGGAAAACACCAGTCGATTAAACGCGTTTTTTGATGTGTTGGTTACACAATTTTTTTAAGAAAAAAAAGTAGTTCAAAATTAAAAATGCGTAAATATTTTAGTATTTTTAAAATTCACTTTTTTGCAGAATTTTCAAAACAGATGTTCCAAACAATTTAGACACACATATATATATATAGTACAATTTAGACACATATATATATATATACACACACATATATATATATATATATATATATATATATATATATATATATATATATATATATATATATATATATATATATATAGTTATAGATAAATATATATATATATATATATATATGTATATATATACATATATATATATACATATATATATATATACATATATATATATATATATATATATATATATATATATATATATATATATATATATATATATATATATATATATATATATATATATATATATGTATATATATATATATATATACACACACACACATATATATATAGTTATAGATAAAAGTATATATATATATATATATATATATATATATATATATATATATATATATATATATATATATATATATATAATATATATATATATATATATATGTATATATATATATATATATATATATATATATATATATATATATATATATATATATATATATATATATATATATATATATATATATATATATATATATATATGGTATATGTTTATATATATATATATATACATATATATATATATATATATATATATATATATATATATATATTTATATATATATATATGTATATATATAGTAATAATATATATATATTACCACTTTACATTAATTATTAATATATATCCTCAACTAAAAAAATGACATAGCTATTACTAAAAGTGTTTTGATAAAAGAAAATTTTTTAAAAAAGTTGTTCAACACTCACATTGTAGTAGGGAGATTGTTGATATTCCGATTTCTCCGCCATTTTTAATCCGGACAGGATTTGAAGGTTTTGCAGACACCATTAGAAGCATGCAGTAAATGCAAGTTAAAGGAGTATATATAACTATATCTTTCATTATCCAGATTTCGTAACGTTCAGTTTCACATTGATTTATAATATCAACAAGTTTTGTGAATTCCATCCAAACATCATTAATTCTATATAATTCTAAAAAAAATGACGTGTTAATACACGTATAGAACTTTGCACTTCGGTAACCGCAACGTTTCCATTAAAACATTTTCAAAAAGTCGTTTAAAAAATCAAAACAAAGTTTTAAAATATTTTTCAAATATAATATCTATACACATACATTAAGTCGATAATTTTTTTTTTTTTTTTTGATTTTCATTTAATCGTAAGTATCAAGTTTTACAATTTTATAACGCCACGCTTTCTTTCGCTCACAAATAACTTTTTTAAAAGCGCAAATTTTCAACTTCCATATTTTCAATTCTACAAAGATTTCTCTTAAAACATTTCTTAGCCGTTTTTCGCATGGTAAAACCATCGGATAACAATATAGAGTGTTTAACTTAACATAATAAGCGATGTTTACACAGCAAAAAAGATAGCGATGGTAAAATAATACCAAGTTTTAATTGATGAAATATTTTGGTGCATGAGTTTTATTGGGTAACCCGAAATAAAATTTACATTTAATTCTAGTTAAACAGTCAATATTTTTTTTTTTTCATTTTTTGACCTGAGTCTGATCCTCTGTCTAATTTCATGTTTCTTTTGTATTAAAGACTTTGAGCTCTGCACAATCTTTTTTTTTAAGCAGCTTTTAATAATGTTTTATAAAAATAAATGTTTATTTGTGCACGGCTCATTTTATGCATGAATAAAAATAGAATGTAGATAAGTATAACATTATCTAATATATATATATATATATATATATATATATATATATATATATATATATATATATATATATATATATATATATATATATATATATATATATATATATATGTATATATATATATATATATATATATATATATATATATATATATATATATATTATATATATATATATATATATATATATATATGCAACGATTATATTTAATAAATAATAGTAATAAATAATAGTAATAATAAAAGAGAGTTTGTAGAAGTACTAGAAAAAGTAATAAAATATTTTATTTATAAAGATAAAAAAAAAAAAAAATATTACAAACTTCGATTGATCAGTTTCATAATATTAAACAAAATTAATTTTTGCATAGAAGTTGTAAAGAAATTGAAAAGTATGAAAGTTGCATAGAAGTTGTAAATTTTTTATTTTACAGCCACTGAAGTGACAATAAATACATGGAACGGTCAATTTTTTAATGAGAGGTATAATGAATAGATGAAACGTAGTTTAGCTCAGTATTCGCATAAAAATGAAAACTGATTTATCCCAAATATAAATCAAAACATAATTTTACCACATTTTTTTATTTTTTCATTTTATAAATTATAACTTTATTAACAAATTTAGTTAAAATTAAGATATAAGTTTGTACTGACCATAAAAAGATGTTTCAAAAAATCTATTCACAATATATATTTATGCTTGACAGACCAATTCAAACAAAATAGAAAAGGTTTGAAAAACCTGCAAATTTGATAAGGTTTGATAAACTAATATTTCATTTTTATAACACTTAAGTAATATCAGCGTTACATTTAGAAAAACAAAAACAAAATCAAATCTCCAGCTGCAAATTACTTCCAACAGCTTCAATAGGAGGCAGTAGTTACTAAAATAGTGAGAATAAAATTGTGCAAATAGTAGTGTTTGTGAAAGACAGATGTTGAACAACATATTTTTTTTTAATTTATAATTTATGTAATTTATGTTACTTCAAAACACAATTTGATAACTAGCATTGTTGTGTTTGAATTTATAACATCATTAATCGTCATGCAAAAAACAATATTAATAACAAAAACAAGCGGTATTAAAATTGATTTATTACAAATAAAAATATTTTAAAGAAAAGTTTTTAAAATAATATTTAATAAATAGTATTAAATAAATATTATAAAATAAAAAGTATCTTGAAAAAAAAAAGAGTTTTGAACTTTTATTTGAATAATTAAAAAAAATGATTTAAACTATGATTTAAAAGCAAAATGTTTGTAAATAAAAGTAATTACACGAATACTTGTTATCACATAGTAATAATAATAATAAAATAATAGTAGTAATAGAAATTTGTATGTATAACATGCATAATTATGCATATTGGGGCAAATTATGTCGAGTATACTTGATAAGTAAATTAGATTCTTAAAAAAAAAAAAAAAAAAACACAAAAAAAAAAAATACAAAACCACAAAACTTGAAAATGGCTTAAGTATTTATTTTGATATATCAGAAAATAAAATGATTGACATATTAAATTGTTTTTTTATTTTTCAACTAGAATTTGATAAAGCAGTTAATGTATAAAACCTTTACTAAATAACCATAATTGTTGTTCCAACGGCTGCTGCAGATTTTCGATAAATTGCATTTTTTTTTTAATGTCATTTTAAAAATAAGATTTTAACATAGTAAAATGCAACATCAAGTTTTTCTTGTAAATGAATAAAACTTTTAAATAATGTAAATGAACGATAGAAATGTCAAAATGTGGTCAAAATGTAACCCATATGCGTGCCCGTTTCCAGCTCTTTATATTATAAATATAAGCAAAACAGTAATAATAATAAAAAACTTTATTACAAAAAAAATAGCATTAGTAAAGAAACTTAAAACCATAAGCACAATCAAAAATAGACAGACGTTGTTGGTTAAAAAATCGACATTAATTGTCCATCTAAAACACAGTTAACCACGAAAAAAATTTTGTCAAAGAAACTGCAAAAATATTTTGATGAAATTTTTAATATATTGATAAACTTTCAATTAGTTAAAGATAGTAGAAATATGGAATGGACTAAATCAGGTTTTTTTTTTTTGAGTGCTTTTGTTCCCAGGCTTTAGTTAACGCAACACATTTTCATTCAAAATAAAGTATTTAAATAGTAAAGATTTGAGCTTGCCGGAAGCCGGAAGCCGGTAGTTGCTTAACTTAAATACCTAATAATCCTGAAACAACTTCTGAAAACGAAATTAACGCTGTACTCAGATTCAGCTAAGAAGTTGATACAAAAGTTTGCGATTAAGTTGCCTGAAAATTTTATATTAATTCGATCATTAATTTCAAGATTATTTTGCGCCCATGGAAAGACGCTGATGTTGCGAGAGATGTTTGAAAAGCGGTTTAATAATGCTTACAAATAAGGCGCAAATGAACTACAGATTCATGGAGACTTGTTTACTAAGTTTATTTTCAATACGTTTTGGTTTTGGTATTGTCTTGTCTTGATGAATAATAATATTACAGATTTTTTTTTTGAATGAAAAAATATAAGTTTGTAAATTTTTTCAATAAATATAAGACTCCAGTTTTTTCAAAAATTTTTACTTAAATATTAATTAATGTTAACTAAATGTATAACTTATTAAAACGATAAAATCAAAAAATATAAAGTGTTATAAATAAATAAATGTAATTAATTACGCAAAAAAATAATTAAATAATAAACAAAAATAGTATAATTATTGATAGCACTCAGTAAACACAAGGCGTCTAAAAAATGTTTTAATACGGTTAAATACGTTTTTTACACGTCTTAACCTTGTTTTGTTTTTAATGGGTAGAGATACACTAGTATACCCTAAATAGAGGCGAGATTTTATTCGTGCGGCATAAACAGGTTGAATACTATTATTTTATTATTAGCGAATCTTATTGCTTTATCAATCATACTGTTGTCAAACTTTATTGCAATGTCAAATATTAATAAAATTCTTATAAAATTAAATTACATGATCATGAACTTAGCAACCTAACAACCTAAGCTTACTTAGGAATCACGCATATTGGTAAGTTGACGTATGAACCACATATATATGTAAGTTGACGAAGAACCGCACCGCATTTAAAATTGGACACAACTTTAATAAGTATGCAAATTTAAGAAATGTTTGAAGTTTAATTTATTACTTTTACTACTTTAAAATGATCTGGAACCCAACAGTAAAATATCAAAACTTTGAGCGTAGATTTTTTATTGATTTTTCTAGGTTATTAAAGTGCTTTAAGAAGACTTAATTGTCTTCAAAACCCCGCGGAAGAGCATTTAAAGAAGAAGTTTACGCCGCCTTTCTTATATTTATTATATTCACTTATTTCATGTGACCATAAATTTATACATATTATTCTTTCTTTTCTTATCTAAAATTTTTCATAGCAATTATGACAACAGCATTAATTTACAGAACTTTTATTTGACAAAGTTGATGTTACAAAGTTGTTACTTTTAAACATTTTTCAAATCTCTAGAATCTTTAAATGAATACATTTATAGTAATGTAAAAATTTTTTTTTTTTTCTTCCTTGTTTCGCCACCAGCACCATTCTCTAATAAGATGTTTTTATTTCACCGTCTCACATTAAAAATAAATTTTATGTGAATTTTTTTTTTCCCATAAAAAAACTAACACTTTAAAATGTTTCTTCAAAACACAGAACAAATCCTACCTTTTTTACTCTGCTTTTTTCGCGGTATAAAATTGAAAATGAACTGTCTGCTCGAGTTTTATACAAATAACAAATGGCTATTTTTATTTTTATTGTTATTAGATTTAATAGATCTCATAATCTTAATGTAATAAAGTATGTAATGTAATAGGGATATCAAGATTTAATTGGCTTTGGTGGGAGTTGCTATGTTAGGAATTTGCTTCATCATGACATTTGATAAAATGGTAATAGAATTATAGGAAATTTTTGTTAATTGCATTTATTACATCATCATTCATACATTAAATATAGCAATACCAGAAATACTTTCAAGCATTCCGATGCCATTTATTTTGCTGACGTTAAATGATATTAAAGACAGACTAGACTTGCCCGAATATAAAACAACAAGATTGTTGTACAACTCTGATTCATTTGTAATGGGGTTGTTTGTATCATTCGCTTTAAGCGGGTAGAAACCATTTACTTATGTGTGTAACAATTTTTAAGTGTGTAGAAAGCATATACTTATGCGTATTACAATTTTTACGAAAAAAGTATAAATAACTTTTCACGCAAATTTTTTATTATTATTAGGCACAGGCTGCTACCCATAATGTAACTAATCTGGTTCTAAAATTTTTCTAATCTGCTCATATGTATAGAATTTAAATAAAACTGGGAAATTCCTTCATTACCTAATAAAACGGGAAATTCCAATATTTGTGCTGCCAAATAAAAATATTATTTTTTTTTTTCCTAAAAAACAAATTTTATTAAATAAGTAATCCATTCGAACTTTGAAAAGTGGATTAAAAAAAGGATTTTAAAAAGTGGATTTAAAAAGACATACTTTTTTTTTGTTTCTAAGCAAGTAAACAAGTAACCTAAGTCTTTACAATGGTCAGTCGACAAAACAACTGTGTTGAGGTTCCTAAAACACCAACTAATGAATTTCAAATAAGTTAATAACTTATTAAAATAATTTTAGATCACTGAAAACGTTTTCATTAAGTCACGTGGTTTTTAATTTAATATTTAACGTCACTTAAGAAACTTTAGTTGAATGACAAACTAATTTTAGTTGCATATTACATTTTTTTTTTTTAGTTTTTTTAGTTGCGTATAACATATTATTATTTTTTAGTTTTTTAGTTGCATATAATATTATTATTAACTACTATTTAATCTTTTTTTATTCTTGTTTTTATTTTTTTTAATTAACTTGTAATTAAATGATTTATTTAAGAATGGATTGTTTACTGTCAAACTCCAAGTAAAACCGAGTATTTTGTTTCAATAATAAAATAACAAAACATTTTTTTCTCAAAAAAATCATTATAACAAGTTATTGTAGAAGAAAACAATAATAAATAGGGATTTCAATCCCCTGAGTCTTTGTAACCCCAGGGTTACAAAGGGATTTCAATCTACTGGGTCTTTGTAACCCCAGGATTTTGGGATCAAAAATGACCTGTCCTTGGACCAATTTCAGTATTCCGGAATTATAAAAAAATATAACATTATAAGTACATAAAAAATACCTACATTAAAAAAAAAAACATTTTTAACAAAAATATATTTATTAAACAAAAGCAGATTAGATTGCTGAAAAAAAATCTTTAAAACAATTATGTCAGGAATGGAGAAATGCATAAAAACGTTTTATGTGACAAAAAACAGAACGCGTTAAAAGTTTTTTGCAATGGTAGCTGTAGAATCTCGGTGACATGGTGCTTTAATTGTTATTTTTATGGGAACTTACTTTCATTTTTGTTTATAACTTTTTACTTTGTAAAATTGTTTAAGCAAAATGCTGTTTTACCGTGCAATCCATTATTAAAAACACTTATTTTCCAAATTCAGCCTTCATATATTTTTGAAACTTTTTGTTCTTGGCACGTGGTCTAAACATTGTTATTACTTTGCGTATCTTTTTAATGACTTGCCCATAATGAATTTTAGTTCACTTGAGTACAGTTAATCTTTCTCGATTTTCTATACCGCGGACGAATCACTAACAAAATGTTTATTTTCAACTTCTGGCTGATTTGTAGTAAATTTTCTCTTTTTCTAAAGAACATGTAAGTTGTAGACCGTGGGAAAAACTTAATTGTCGATAAGCATATTCGCTTTAAAACGAATATGCTTTAATAATAAAGTTTCTTCGTTTAGAATAACCTTCTAAACGGAGAAACTTGTCCATTAACGTGAATATTCATATAACGACGATTTCAAAGCGACGTTCATTTGTCTGTTGAAAAAGAAAAAAACTCTCCTAACTCTAATTCCGTTTTCAAATGCGCTTTAATTTGATGAGTTGTACCTTAACTGATTTTTCTGCTTGACTCTATTGCATGATTACAAATTGTGTTTACGATGGCAGATTTCTTATATATTTTTATACACTTTTTCGTTATGCTTTGTTTTGTTTGATCTTACAAAGAACCACGGTATCGGTAATAATTTATTCATAATTTAAGATTTAAGGATTATAAAATATGCCGGAATCCTGGAATGGAAATCATTAATAATAACATTATAGGTCTAATTATAGGTGTTTAAATTACAAAAGTTCAACTGTATATTTTTAAAGTTAAAACTTGTATTTTATAAATTATTGCTAAAATGTTTGGGAAAAACAATTTAGATAAAAAAAGTAAAGGGTTTACATAACTGATTTGAGAGGATACTCTGACACTAAAAATAAAAAACTTATGTTTTATAAATAACTTGTACTCTCAGTGGGCATGCGTCGTCCGGGGGACGGATGTCGGATGTCTTACGGACGTTTAGACGTCTGTGAGATGTATAATGGACGTCCTCCAGACAACGCGTACCCACTAATTTCTCCTTGATGAGACTCTCCTTTGTGTTGCAAATATTTGGTAACTAGTACAATGATGTCATTGTAAGTTCTACCAAAACCCCAATCGGATAGCTTGATGACCCCATCAAGATGTCGATGGCAGTGGCTCAAGATGTTAAGGTGGCAAAAAATGTTAAAGTATTTTGTGTTTGAAGCGCTGTCAATTTTTTCACCTAAGTCGTGGATGCCTGTAATGGGTTACCATTAAAATGTTGAAAGATTGAGCAGCTTTGTTTAGTGATTTACTATTTTTTTGAGTGAAAATTTTTTATTCTTTAAAAACTGCAATCATGATTTGCTTTGCGCGGAAGTTTTTTCGAGTTTTTTAAAATTAAATATTATCAAAGTTGATAATAAATAATTTAAAACTTTTTCAAAAAATTTATAGAGATTCATTGATCAGTTTAAACATAATAAACTTAATTAATAGAAATAGAGCTTTTATTAATTAAGGTGACCCTTAGGACATTTGTTTTTGAAAGTTACGTTCTAAATGTCTTTTAAACGTCTTTTAAACGCTTTTTATACGTTCTTTACGTAAGAATGTTTAGAAGACGTTTAAAAGACATTTAAAATATATTTAGAACGTAACTTTTAAAAACAAATGCCCGCTGGGTGAGGTGATCACCTTAATCAATAAAAGCCCTATTTACCTAATGTATTTTTTTCTCACCCTTAGATCACTGTTTCCTTTTAAAACTTATAACTTTTTAGCAAAAATATCAAATTTAGTTTTGAAAAAAAATTCTTTTTATTTATTTCTAAATTTGATATTTATGAACTGTTAGTGATTCTATAGCACAAAGTTACGTAAAATAAAATCTCATACATCTTGTTCCTACATGAATAAGAACAACTTTTTTTCACTTGATGTTTTTATCATCGCAAATTAAAATTAATATTTCTGACATAAAAAGTTATACAAGGATATATTTTATGTTTAGTGGTAGAAAACTTTATGTCATTTTTTTAACAACAATAACGACAATTGTTATGCGGCTAAAAACTTAACAACTTACAAAAAAAAAAAAAAAAAAATTTATCATCTTATTCAGAAAAAGATTCTCTACGACATGATCAAAAAATATTTGTAAAAAGTTTCTTAAGTAATTAAGAAAATTTTTTGCAAATGGGAGCTTAAATTTGGCATTTCGTAATATTTCATTTCTAAATATCATCTATTAAAATTTGCACAAAATTTAAGTGATAACAGGAAAATCTGAGGGGCGACAGGAAAATGTAAGGGGTGACAGAAAAATTAAAATCTTTTGTCTGTTACTCTTACGTTGTCTTACATTATTCTTGCTTACTTTAATTGTCAAACAACTCAAAAATTTCTGAATAAAACAAAAGTAAAAGCAAAAGTAACTACTGTATAATACACTAGTTAGCAAACATCTAATGAAACTTTATTAAATACACTAGTTAGCAAACATCTAATAAAACTTTATAAAATACACAAGAGTCCATTCGAGATTTTAATACATACTTAGAAAACAACGAGCGGATGATGTCTTACATGTTATGGGCTGGCTCAGAAAAGGTCAAATCTACATTGATAATTGCATCAAAAATTGAATTAAAAAATTTTTTTTAAATTTTAAAGGCTTGTTTCCATTTGTAATATCGTTTATTATTTAACTATCCTTAACAAAATTTATATTCATCACAAAACTTTAAAAAAGTTTGGTTTGAATTTAGTGACGCGATGTCACCAGATAATCTGATTGACAAAATAATAAAAATAAATAAATAATTAATAACAATAATAATAATAATAATAATAATAATAATAATAATAATAATAATAGCAATAATAATAATAGCAATAATAATAACAATAGCAATAATAATAATAATCATAATAATAATAAAATAATAACAATAATAATATAGACAAAATAAATTTTTAAGAGTTTAAAACAAAAAATCGAAGGACACTGGTATTGATCAATGTCTTAAAACAAGTTCTAAGCTTCTAGAATGTTTAAATTTTATGGTCATAATATATTTTTATTCATTTTACTACATTTGTTTGAACACATTTCAAAAGGAAGGATGCAATTTATAAGAGGTATGTGATTTTAATCTTTTTTTATGACTGCAATGTTCAATTTAGCAATTTTGGCCTAAAGGATGGATACGATACAGTTTGACGGATGGATACATTTTGTATGAAGCATTTGAAACTGATCTTTTTCTTAAATAACTATTTTATATTTTGTAATGTAGTTTTTTTGAAAACATTTTAAATTTTGATCATGTAACTTTTATTCAATATAAGTAACACTTAATTTATTCTGACATTTGTGTTTTACTATATGAAATTGAAAATCTTCAGGAAAATAATTGCATAATTGCTCGGTACCTGTAATTTTTGTTTTCCTTCATTATTGGACTTTTTCTACTGCTGGTTATGGAGTTCTATGCTGTCATGTTTTCTTTGCTATCAGAAAAAAATATGAATTCTTTCAATCTAGATATTTATAAAACGCACTTGATAGTTTTTAAATTTAAAATAATATTAGTAGTAATTAAATAAATAAAAAACATGTAAAATTAAAAAAAAAAAGAAGTAATTTTAGGTGGTTTGTTCTTACACAGCAGTTGGCATAAAGGTATGACATTTTCAATTAAACTTGTGGTTTAATTCCATCGTAAAAGAAAAATTCAATACAGCATTGAACCATTTTCAACCTTCTACTCAGCTATTAAATGACTGGAATCAGTTTACTGAAAACTCAAATGTGAGGAGTGGGAACTGCTGGTAAAAAATTTAAATCCAAATTCAATTTAATAAATCTGTTGGTTTTTTAATTAATTTGTTAAACTATTCATTGTGACAAATTTTTGTTAAATTTTTTTTTTCATTATTACATTGTAAAATTTCATTCATTAATGAGTTATGTTAATATTTTCTTATTTTTAGACATCATAATATATATTTTTTTTAATTTAATCATTATTGTAGTTATTATCACATTGATGATTATCCTCAAAAACAACGTCAGCAATATCAATAACAACATTGTTTTCATTATATTACGTATTTGTTATTTATGATGTTGCAGATCTTCTTAACTTTAGTTTACGTATATAACTAAATATTTACAACTTTTTCTATTGCTCTTAAGTCTCTAATAATCTAGAAGAAAAAAGAAGGTCAAGACCAAACTTACACCACTTTTTTATTACATTCACCTCCCGGTTCAGGCTTTCAAATTTCACGTTTTCCCTCAAAAAAGGAAACAAAGTTACAACTTTTAACTACAACCTGGTGTCTCTCTCTTATACCGTGCAAGGTGACGGGGAGAATTATCATAAATAGGATTATGAAACACACTGTACAATCTAATATCAACGTCTCAACATGTACATTACATATGCTGCGTTGCAAACCTAATTTAATCCCGTAACATTTTAATCGAAACAGCATACCGTAGACACCTGGTTGACATAATTTTTACCTGGATCACTGGTTGGCTAGCTAAGAGACAACAATGAGTAATAATTGAAGAATAAATGACCTAGTGGAAAAGGGTGACAAGTAATGCCCCTATAAGATCATTTCTTGCATCAGTGCTATTTTTGTTCTTCATCAAAGGTTTATCAGACTGCATTTAAAGCCATAGCAAATTATGCGCCTATGATGGCTAGATCATATGATTTATCGATGTCAATCAATTTTCCTCTGATTATGAAAAACTATAAGAGGACATTGACAGCAGCTGCAAGTTGGTTGCACAACTATCTTGTGAATTTCAACATCGAGAAATGCAAAGTATGCAAATTGAATGTTGCAAAAACTAATTGATAATGCCATGATTGTCATTGACGGTAACAGACGTAATCTAGTTGGTACATGCATTAATTGTGACTTTGGAGTACTAATATATAACAAACTCCAAGCAAAAGTAGAAGCAGCAGCTTGGATTGGCAATCGAATGCCTGGTTGTCTCAAGAGGTCTTATCGTTGTCGGAGCCTTTCAATCATATAAAAACTGTAGAAGCTGTACCATATCTAGAGTTTTCTGTGCAAGCCTGGTCAACTATTCTCAAATCAAAACCTGTTCTATCCAAACGTGCCCAACAACGCACAATATTGTTAATTAAACATTTTAGTTACACTTTTAGTTGGAAGTCACTGCGTTCTTACACTCAAAAAACACAGGGATTTTCTACTCAAACACAAAGCTGCTTATCATTTACAATTAAAATTGGGATTATAAAAACTTTGTTTCTTTAAGTTTCTTATTCATCTTGTTGAAATATTAGGAATCTGTAAAAATTAAAGCTTGTAAAATAGAAAACAACTTGATGGAAGTTATTTTGCATCTTAATAGTTTGAAGTAGTCTTCATTTTTCACTTGTGGAAAACTATAGGCTTTTCTGAATCAAATATACTCAAAGGGTCTATCGTCTAATTTCCAATCAATATGTATTCTAATTTTTTAAGGTGGTACAACACCAAATAAATAAAAAAATTAAATAAACCTCCAAAATAAAAATGCTTTTAAATACAGTTTACTCAAATGATTTAAAAAAAAAAAAGCAAAAAAAATTTTTTTTTTTAATTAGCATTAGGACCATAATGGCGAAAAAACTATTAAAAAATGCGTTTTTGGACTAAATTTCAAAACATAATATCTAAGGCTAGCCATCATTATATGACCTGAAATTTTGTACACTTACTCTAAACACTATTTTATTCCATTTAACAGATAGATTTTTTAAATATCAAAGTAAATGATGAGTTATGTAGTTTTCCCTCATATTTTATTTATTTTTTGACGTTTTAGAGAGATCTGACTAAAAAAAAAAAAAAAATTACTGATCATAAAAAAAAATCCATCTGTTAAATGAATTTTATAGGTATTTCGAGCAAGTACTGAAAATTTCAGATCAAATGAACAATGCTAACTTAAGAAACTGTGTTTTGAAGTTTAAGCAAAAATAAAAAAACGCGAACTGAGATAAACAGCATTGAAAAATTCTTGATATAATATTTACAATATTAATTTAAAATCCTCCTGAAACATAACTGTCATTACATTCTTTTGCTTTCTCCTCATCTAGGTGACCTTTTTTAAAGAGTTTTTCTTCTTTTTTTTCCCTTCTCTGATGACTTGCACCTCATTTGACTAATCCTTTTTTTATTTTTAGAAGTCGGTGAAATATTTGATACCTTACCATGTAAACCAAAATGTCTAAAAACACTAATAACACCCTTTGCACCATCATTGTATGCTAAAATAGCTGAATACGTTCCCATTTTCAGTGTTGATTTAGAAACAAAAACTCTTTTTTTTTTCAGGTACACGAGCCCAAATAAGTCCATTAAGTACCTCGTTAGCATTTTGTGTGTTTTCATGTAAACATTTTGATAACAATTCATCTGATTGTAAATTTATAATTATTGGTAGAATTAAATCTTTTATCCACAGAGGTATGGTAGATTTGGGTTTATAATTCTTTTGATTTAGAGCCCAGTATTTGCACCAACTATATTTTCCACGAGGACAAAACTGGTGGCGTGTGTAGGAATCAGGAAAATTGGTGAAATAGAAAAGTATGGCATAAACTGCTTTTTCATTGAATACAAGTTTCCCACATTAGATCTGATTGCAAGACCATAGAAATTTTGCATTGAATTAATGCAGTTTTCAGTGAGTTTACCTCTGCCTGATATTGGTTTTTTAGTACCTTTTTGGGCTTTGACAAGGTTTCGTAGACGTGTTCCTAACCGTCCAACATGTCCAACACATTCCAGTTTTACAGGCATAATACCATACTCTTTGTAAGGATCTGCTTCTATTACATCATTAAAAGAAGATGTATCCCCATCTCCTAGATATTCTTTATATATCAACTTATTTTTTTGTAAAGATCTTTTAAACATAGCCACAGCTCCTACAGATTCCATACTACCCGATGAACCCTTGTGATTCGATTCACACTGGTGATCAACCAACCAACACTGATACTCTGGAGTTCCTTTTTTAGATCTCCACATTTTACATCCATTGCAATGTTTGGTAAATATCTCTGCATCAATACATTTATCACTACAAACAGCAGTTACAACACCATTCAACAAATTAAGACCTCGCTTTTGCCATGAACCATCAATAGAAATTCTAACTTCTTTCATTTCAAGAGTGTTGTTTATTGATTTGGTTTCAAAAGCAGCTTTTTGCATACTTTCCTCAGCAGCAATTTTGTATACTAACATGGCAGTTTTATTTAACTTATTAAAGCCATTAGGCGACAAACAATAAAGATTCATACAGAAGGAAAAAGTATTCATCGACTCATGGCCAGCACCTATTTGTCGCAATCCGATGACAGCTCGCAGGTTGATCTCATATGGTGATTCTAGAGATGAAAGTTTTTTTTTATAAATAGGAAATACAGTATCAATAGGAAACTCATTTGTGTTTAAAGATTTCTTTGACTTTGACGAAGTTC